TGATCAATGATGATGTAATCAGAGATAGTTAAAATTTGTATTTATAAGCAAAAGCGAAAATAAAGAATTAATTAGTATTTTTACTTACGAAAATAAATAATCGACATTAAATAAAATAATTTGCTTACCCGTTGCACAGTGCCTGGCTTCCCGGTGGTCATCGACACGAAAAGTGCTTGCCTCTAGAGCTAGGTTATTAGTGACAAAAGTCACTTATTAACCCGTGACACCAACGACTAATAGTCGCAGCAGAAATTCCAAATTGTGTATTGTCTCCTGTCAAAAAATTAAAAATGGTCTTTATACTAGTTGTTGTGGTGTTGAATGACATTTGGCCAATTTGTGAAAGTTGCACAGCAAGTTTAATAAAATCAGTATTATATTCTTTTTTATTTTGCTTGATTAAATTTCTAATTACAGTTTTCATATTATTGTTCTTTAATTCTAGTGGACGTCTAGCTGTTGCATGAATTTGAGATATATGCCATTGATGTTTATGCTTGAATTGTACAAGAGAACCATTGAGCTTTCGAACTTTATGAGTTATACGGTTATTCGTTCTTTCAATTTTCTTATATTTTGTTTAAGTTGCTTGTTTTGATGATTTATTAAATCTAGTGACTTCCCGGGTTTGTAAAGAGAATCTGATATATATTGAAATGCTTTGTTTTGTATATAAGGAGATATAATGCAATCCTTATTTTTGCCATATGGATATCTCATTGTGCATAGAAGATGAGATACTGATTTATGGTTTGTTTCAGGTATATCTTGAAGAGAATTGGTGATCGTGTTATATAATTTAGAGAAATTAGATTCATTAACATTCGGAATATTAAATATTGTATCATGTATTATTTTAAGTTCTTGTTCAGTAATTTTATTAAGGTATTTTATTATTTTATTAATAATTTTCTGACGTCGAACCAGGCTACGCTTTTCTGTGAAAGATTCAAGTGCACCTTTTAATTGTAAGCTATGTTTTGAAAGTTTAGGCATGATGTGTAAAAGGTTCAGTATTAAAATTATAATCTTTAAAAGATGCTTCTCAAAGTTACGCTTTTAGATCTTTATTTATAAAGACAAATTTGAACAAAAACAATTATTTTTTATACATATACAGTTAAGCATTCCTAAATAAAACTCAAGACCAGCCTTGTATTTAGAGAAAAAATTGCATCTATGGGAGTCTAGAATTTTATAGGGCGCTTTCAAAATTAAATACGGACCTTCTTACCTATTGCTTTACTATTATTATAGAGTACTGAAATAATAGAGTATCTTTCAGATCATTCGTAAGTATTTCATGATCTGCTGCATGAATTGTCACGTAAAGATGATTATTATTTTGAATATGTGCGTGAGAGCAGGGCTTAAAATCCTATAGTAATTTGCTGGCCTGCAGCCTATTGTTTGAAGTGTTTTTTTTTAATTCATCTTAATGTTTACTATATCTGCCAATTATACTATAGATCAAGAATAACACTATTGAATGGTTGGCATTTCAATATAGTCATTTAAGCCCTGCATGAGAGTCTCTTACGCACCCCTATATGTTATTTAGAGTACGTGCATATGCGTTATTTTTGAAACAAAGGCTTGCTGATAACTTAGTTTTTGAAATAATATTCATTCAAGCACAGGATTTAAATAGAATCAATAGAACTCAATAGATAATTATCCATTGAGATTCTCTACTTTTTATTTCTCAATGAACAGTAGTGATATAAACCAAACGTAAATGAGACAATTACGACTTTTACCTAATTTGGGATTGGGTTAACTATTATTATAATTTTATAATTCTAAATCCAATACAAAATCTAAACTGGTGCCTATTTATTTTGTATATCCCAAATCTCAAGGACCGATTGTCGCAGCTCTTACTAGCTACATATATATTTCTGACAAAACAAGGCACTACATAAAGATGAATTTTACGATTTTATAATTATTTTGTTTTTATTGAAAGCGAAAGGTAAAATTTTCTTTGACTCTAAATTAATTTACATCATAATTTTATCATATGGTATTTAACTATCCTCAATTACCTTATAATTCGATCATATGGTATTTGACCTTTATCTTATTACACATTTTTCATACGCTGTAATTGATTCTTAATCGATTGTTAATATTAGCATAATTATCTGATCGATTTGGGTATACAATCACCTGTGACTCAATCGAAGATACACGTGACCACAAAAAACTATTCTAATTGTCAAATATTTTATTTTTTATTTTTATTTTTTTTATACGGTCCTAATGTTTTTCTTTAACTTAAATATTTTTCTACTGTTATTCCTCATATAACGTATCTTGAGTTCCAAATCTCATTGTGCAACCGATCCTACCCATAACATCAATCATCTCTACAAAACAAACATGGCGCAGGACAAAACAAAATGATAGTGTGGGCGAATTATTTTCGCAATTGTGAAAATAATTCTCCTGCATCACTAGATAATAATAATTTATTAGCCTTATGATTTGTGCCCTAGCAAATGATATGTAAATTCAGGGTACAGTACAACCAGGCTTAAAATCCTATAGTAATTTGTGGCCTTCAGCCTATTTTTTGAGGTGTTTTTCTTGATTTATCTTATTGTTTACTATATTTGCCAATTATACTATAGATCAAAAATGACACTATTGAATGGCCAGCATTTCAATATAGTTATTTAAGCCCTGACAGCAACTATATGCATATACTGTAAATAAAAAAAAAAACTAAAAATCAGATTCAATAATTTTTAGATCTTTATACTAATTTATATAACCCCAAATCCCAAACCTAAATAATAAACCTGCTATTATATAGAATAATTGTTTGAACTCCTTACTGCAACGATAGATGCATAAATGAAATTTTGAAATTTTGTTATTCGGATTTGATCTGTTTGACCATTGAGGTTACTATGGTAACTACTATTGTAGAGATTCACAGGTTTGTTCGACACCTCTATATCTACACAAATACAGTAGATTTGTATAGTTTATTGATATCTGTATTCGTACATTGTGTAATTTTAACTAAATTATTCACCTGTTCACCTTTTTTGTAATAATTCCTCAATAAAATTAAATATATACAATTAAGAATTCTATATAAACGCGTAATTTTTGAGATAATTAGTTATATTTAATTTGAAAATACTGTAAACCATATAGATCAAGAATGATACTATTGAATAGCTGGCATTTCAATATAGTCATTTAAGCTCTGACAGCAACTATACACGTATACTGTAAATAAAAAAAAAAACTAAAAATTAGATTCAATAATTTTTAGATCTTTATACTAATTTATGTAACCCCAAATCCCAAACCTAAATAATAAACCTGCTATTATATAGAATAATTGTTTGAACTCCTTACTGCAATGATAGATGCATAAATGAAATTTTGAAATTTTGCTATTCGGATTTGATTTGTTTAACCATTGATGTTACTACGGTAACTACTATTGTAGAGATTCACAGGTTTGTTCACATCTCTATATCTACACATACAGTAGATTTATATAGTTTATTGATATCTGTATTCGTATATTATGCGATTTTAACTAAATTATTCACTTGTTCACCTTTTTTGTAATAATTCCTCAATAAAATTAATATATACGATTAAGAATTCTATATAAACACGTAACTTTTGAAATAATTAGTTATATTAATTTGAAAATACTATAAACCAAAATGCCTTCTCATGCCATTCTTATTGTAGTTATTACTGGAGTAAAAAGTAGCCAACTATGTTCACACGGCTTCGTTAAATACAAGCCATCAAATGAAATATCTTATACTATTCGATGAAAATATTTTTTTCCTATGAACGAACAGCCCCAAGTAATTACGATTGGTAATGTCGTATGTTTTTCAGGAAAATTTGTAGTTAAAAATTCTGAACAGTGTCTCACCGTAGCATCTGCAAACATTCTTGATGCTGGACATTTAAATCCTAAATTTAATATCGCCAACATTCCTTCATGTATCCCACACTGTATGCTTTCTGCATTCGTTACTCGTACTCTCCAAAAAGTTAATGATTTTATCCATTTTGGTATGGAATGATTGGAATATAATGCTATTACCAGTACACCAAATGTTAAGATGAAGATAACTGCTATTTACCCCTTCCACTCAATAAGATTTCAAAAATATTTGGGCCCTTCAGGATCAAACATTAAATTAGATAACATTTATTTGATTTCTGGGTTCGTCAAATTTTCAACTTCTGGTAAACTCATGATAGAGGCAACCGACATAGATTATATAAGGACAAACATGAATTCTAATATGTTTGAAAGTTCCTCTTCGTTACCCAGTACCCGATCAATTATCGATATTATTGCTGATAATGTTGAATCGGCTACTATTTCTACTCAAAAACAGGATCATTCTTCAATTAAATCTAATACTATTGCTGCTCATAAATCATCTGAAACTCCAATAGTGATTATTGATGATGAT